AACAAAGAAATTATATAATGTAAACTTGCTGATAAATAGAACAAGACTGAGATGAAACTTGTGAAATCAATGAAATCCTTGACAATATACTTACTCACAATGATTATAGTAGGAACACAATTACAAAATAAAGATGAACACAAACTGACTGGCGTTACTTGGTAGCAAGCGAGGTGTCACCCATAAATCAAAGCAAATATGTTTATCCTTATAACACTGCTTCTGGCTTCCATGTCCCAAATCATACATAACGTAATACTCAATGCCTTCGTAGCTGTTGAGTTCGTCATCATCGACGTAGCCATAGAATTCATGGTCGTCGCCATCTAAGTCATCATTGTTGTTTTCTATCCCTCAATCATAAAATAATTACTCTGATTTTTTTTAAGGATAAAAGAAAGAGAGGAGAAAGAGGGCAAAAAGCATTATAAAGTTATAATAATTCTTTTTTTTAAACCAATTAGGGTTTCCTTGTAATTGAATGAGTTGATTTTCGACGGAGTATTTTAGTGATTTTCAAAGTTGACTGAGGTTCTGTAGTGTGGTTTTCTTAAATTAAAATAGTTGAAAGGGTTTGGTTAAAATCAACATGTCTCTTTATGCTACGAGAAGATGACATGTGAACAACTAATCTTATATTCACCTAAAAATTATCATCAAATTAAAGCTATCCATATAATTAGAAGATTTTAATGATAAATATTTTGTAATCTGCTATCATCATCACTATGTTTTTCAGGAACAATATAAAAGTGTATGTATTTGTGCAGAGATGTAAAGATTTCTTCATTTTGGGAAATCATATCCAATAATTGATGCCCTCTTTTCCCCCTGCTGGAAACAAGGGAAAAGAGTCAGGAAGCTCATGCTGCTATCTATTTATGAACATGAACGGAAACTGATACAAAAGCCTGTTTGGTTACTTTTTTGTAAAACGCGTAGTTGCTACAGTATTGCGAATCAAGTGGTCCAGCTGTGCCTAACAACTACACTAAAAATGCAACCCTATTCCCAAGTTTTTTGCTAGGAATTGCTGAGGGCTTGCCAACTCTGCTACAGTAGCTGCTAACTCAGCTTCGTAACACGACCGTTTTAACTCACCAAAGAGAGGGGTTGATTGTAATACTGTAGCGACTAACGCCTATAGTATTGCAACCCCAAAAACTCTTTAAAACGTGGCAATCAAACATACCCTAAACCTTGGATCATCGAAACTTCACAGCTTGTACACTAATGTGTTTGCTTAAGAACAAAAAGATTAATGTTGAAATCACAGCGCTTTTACAAAGTCATGTAGTCCATCATTTTGTTTGTGACTATTTTGTGCAGTCAAATATTTCTGGAAACATATTTTCGAGGATTGGGATTGGCTGATTATGGGGAGAGAGAGAGAGAAAAAAGTACGGAAAGAAGTCTATACATAGCGTCGGAGATAAATTCATATGTAGCAAATTATGTCTAGTGACATTTGAATTGCTGTGTTTGTGAATTGTAATAATGGATGACATCATGTATCGTATTGCATTAATATTCATTCATCTCAGCCTGACCCCGTCGTATACTTGCATATCATATGTTTATTCTCATCTAATCAGACTTTTCAATAAAGTAATGGAATTATTTTGAAGCGTATCATATGTTTATCCTTACAGAGTACACTAAATAAATTCCAAAAGAAACCCAAACCTCCAAACGCTAGTACATAACTCACCAAAGTGTTTCTAGATTGATTATGCCTTGCGAGAAAATACTCTGTTTCAAATAAGAAAAGGGGCCTGAATGGACATCCCAACATCTTGCAAAAAAAAAATGGATAAGAAAGAGGGTCATATTGTGCTACATAAGAAATGACCAACCATCAAAAGATCACGTGCGCTCCATAATAATTTGATTAAAATTTAACAAAAGTTAGAATAAAATGAATGATCACCTTACCCATATAATCGCTATCCATATAAACACAATATTGATGGTAAATCAGCATTTTTAACAGTACAAACAAGCACCCTTTTTGGAAATATATACAAGAAACTGCGGAAATGTATGTAAAAGGGTAACTAAGATTTGTGTCAGTTAGAATATAAAAATTTCACCCTCAACTCTCATAACTTTCGGAGTTTTGGTGTAATGGTTAGAGGAACTTAATTTAAGATGGTATCAGAGCAACTAGGTTCAAATCCCACCGGTCATGAATTTAAAACAGGATTTCTAAAAATTGACATCACAGGGCCATCAATTTGTGGGACATGTTAGAATATAAAAATATAACCCTCAACTCTCACCACAACTTCAAAGTTTTGGTACGATGGTTAGAGGAACTTAATTCAAGATTGTCCAATTAATTCCTGTAATAAAAACAAACCAACCAAAATACAATAACAACAGAAACAGAAAAAAGGGAATTGTTAGTTGAGTTGATGCTTGTTAGTTGCTAAACAATTAAATGACTTAACCTACCCAGTTTGATAAGTTTAGAGTGCCCTACAAAGGATTATTAAAACAAATGTGGTGTCCCTTGGGTTATAGCCATTCTAGAAGCCCAGTGGCAAAAATATTATATAGCTCAAAGATACAAGAAATATTGAACAATAAAAATATCATGAATAAAGAAAAGGAAAAGATCGTAATCAAATTCCACTGAAGGAGCTTTAGGAGAGGCATGTGTGTTTGAGTCTGTTGAAAAAATAATGCAACCGTCCACTGAGAGGCGTCCCTCTAAAATCATCTATATCTTTGGTGGGGACATTTCATGATACAATGCCAACCCCCCCTCTTAACTTACATCACACCCCTCAAATATGCACAAACCACTCATCTTGCCATCAGCATGCTCGAGTAATCACGGAAACAGTGAACTGTTCATGATGGGTAGATGAAGTGGGGAACTTAGGAAACACAGGTGTTGAGAAGATAAATTTAGAGTGTAATTATATGTAAAGAGGTGGAGTAATTCGGCATTTTCATTGGTGAGACGTATTGGAAACAGAGCCTATACCAAGTTGTTATAGAAATGCAAAATGAGTAGGGAAACTTCTATGCAAAACAACAAACAAAAAATCACCTCTATATTCGCTGTGATGAAATTCTAAGAAGAAAAAAAATAAAAAAGCAAACGGATACACTACTCTGCAATAATGCAAACATTGATTCTACTGGCTAAGCATACAACAAAGTTGGCTTCAGATAAGCAAAACAAAATACGATAATTAAAAGATAACCATTTTTGAGTAGGTACCAATTCTAGATTAAAAGAAACCTGGCAAAAGAGATGCTTATGGTGAAAGATAAAACATGTAGGCTAAGGGATCCAACAACCATCAACTTCTCTTATTAGGGCAGAAAGAGCTCAGGGCAAAGGCGAAAGTTAACGAACCGTTGGACTGACTTTTAATGACTACAAGCATACCCTGTGCTAAAAAAAATCACTCTGAGAATTTGTCCGTAGCCCTTCTAGATCAAAGTTCTTTCTAACTATGGGGATATTGAACTATACTGTAAAGAATCACAAATGCTTGTATTTACCATGGAATATGCTAAACATGCTAACTATGATAACGTTGACCTGAGTGGTCAACCTTATAAGCTATGTGATGAAATTCTGCAATTTCCTGTTGATGTTCAAATCAAAAACCATGTATAACCCGAGAACATATGATTGAAAAAGTTAGACTCACTTTTATTGAGAACAACAAATTGGGCTTTCGAAAACTAGAACACACCATAAATGCATAAAACAAACCGGAAAGTGATTAGGTTGGAAAGAACAAAATCTTGGTTCCTCCTTCTTATCTTAATTCAGTGTAATGTTGTCTGATCATATTGGAAGGGCTATCTGTTCCATACTTGACTCGAGTTGTTGGGAGAACAGCTGAGTATATCATATAACACTTGATATAATATTTTCTATTCACCAGTAAAGAATATTAGTTAGCGGTCATGACACCATGTAGGCAATGTCGATAATTTCCGTCTTCTTCACTTAACAGGACAGTTGACTGCTTTTTGAATCTGATATGCTTCAGTTTGTGCATCTTTTTTTTTTTAAAGAATAAAGTTACATGTAATTATTTCAGGCCACTATACTTGTTAATCACGAAAAATATAAGAAGTACCATTCCATCAGTTACTTGTAATGTATTTAGATATACTCGGTACTATTTTCCATAACTGACCTTTTTTACTCAACAAGTCATCTTTTGTTCTATGTCATATTTATACAAGCATAATAAACTTTTTGGGTTTTATTTTCTGAGATACACAAGCAATACTGTTTTTAGTAATAATCTGAAAGGGGCAATGGAACGCACAACATGAATGAATTTCTTCCTAGATCTTGTATTTTCTTTTCCTAATTTTTCTCTCATTGCATACATCATAAAGACTTTGGTCAATTGACTCCCCGAGTATGTCAACAAGCCGAAGCCGATCAATTTGCTCCTGTAGCCCAACCCGCTTATTAGTTAGTTCAATCTATCTAAGAGAAACAAAAAAATTGATTTGGTGGGCCAATGGTGGGATACTGTAATCCATGGCAACTTTGCAATTACCAACCTGCATTTGCCTATTTGTTCCGCCTCTCTCTTTTAAATACCATCACTCCCTCCCTCCACCATCACTCAAGGTTCTCACAACTCAATATCCTCACAGCTTAAAATTTTTAGCCTCCCCTCTTTCTAAACCAAAATTAGGAATAGTAATATGGGGAACTGTTTGGTTCTCAAAGATAAGGGGTTGTGGAAGATCAAGAGTACGGATACCGATATCCTGAAATACCATTCAACATCAAGAATTTGTCAAGCTGACAAGCAAAGAGGGCATCTCTACCACCTTCATCAGCCGAAGAAGATTCAGATCAAGGAGAATAGTGCAGTGAGAATAAAGATGGTGATAAGCAAGCAAGAACTGAAGGAAATACTAGAAAGGGAGGGGCTCACATTTGAGGACATGATGTCTCAAATTCAGAAAGAACCTGGATATAGTCGTAAGAAAAGAAATGAGAAAAGCGTGACGTGGAAGCCTGATCTAGAAAGCGTATCAGAAGCGAACGATCTCTGATAAGGCCTATGTTTTCTTGTATTTTATTTTTATTTTTCTTAATTGGAGTAAATATGCATGTAGATAGCAAGGATCCTGTTGGTTCTCTGTCTTCTCTTTACTTCGCTTAGACGAGAGAAGATGCAGATAGACAAGGAGGGATGCACTAGATTGATGTCGGGTTTATGTGTTAATAGTTCATTTTACTTATGTTTTGCTTTGTATAAAAATGCACATATATAATATTCAGGATGCTGTTGGTTCGCTTCCTCTTTTCATCTTTTTGGAAGAGATTAAAAAAAAGAGACAAGGTAGCCTATAAATGATACATTATGTTGGCGTATCGATCTTCCTATCATTTTTTAATGAATGCTGAGGTAGATAAAGTAACATTGTTCTTCTATCCATGATTGTTTTCAGGATTTTAGTTTTTGTCTAAAAAGGACTGTATTTATGTACTCCCGTAAGTTAATACTTCAAAACTTTTTGGAACTCCATATCTATCTACATATCTAATCAATCATCGATCACGGGCCCTTGTCTCAACTTTTTGCAGTGCAGACCATTTGTTTTGAGCCGCATAATTATTAGTCAAACAAGGGGTATCAAGCACAGATCATGACTGTGATCCCACTCCTACATGTTCCTCATTATCCCTTGGGTCCCCAGGGGAAAACAGAAAAAAGGCTCCTACATAAGCTTTAATTTGCTGTTTAAAAAAAAATCAATTCTAATACTAAAGGACTGTATCTTAATTTCTACTGTAGTAAAAACTTTTCTATCAAACTTCCCTTGATATTGTGTTTGTACACCTACTCAGCATACTGATGCCAACATAAGCAGCAGTGAGAGAAAAAAATTTCTCATATGTAATTCAGAAATGTCAGCCGCAATTGTTGGCAGCAATTGTGGACAAACAAAAAGGCAATTGTGGGCAAACAAAAAGGTGGCGGTCCCCATTAAAATAAATACACCGAAAGTGAAAAGTAGGCACCGAAAGGTTGGCATAGTAAAAGAAAAAAATATTATAAAATTAAGAATAGTATTTTCTCGGACGCTATAAATAGGCCCAAAACTCTCCAGGAAAAATCCATCCTAGAAACAACTCCACGTCTAGAAGAGTGAGAGAGAAAAAATAGAGAGTTTTTCCTTGTAAAGAGATATTGTAACTCCAAAATTTTTACTCATAGTGTATTCTTCTATCATTGCCCGTGGTTTTTACCCCAAATTCATTTAAGAGATTTTTCACGTAAATCTGTGTGTTCTTTTTATTACTTCCACTCTATTATTCACTGAGACACTGCTCTATTAGGCTCCGGCTTTGTCCCAACAAGAAATTTCCTCTATAGTGGGCACAATTTTATGAGATGACTTGGTAATGGAGATCAGACTATAGGTTTGCAGATTCTAAGCTACAGAAACTTTTGGTGGAGTACTGCTGGAATTTCCAAATACTGGGGTGATTCATGCGTACAAGAGAGTAAAAATATATCAAAAGGATGTCAAACTCGCGTACTGGATAAGGCCAGGAAAAAGATTGAGGAAAATGAATTTACCATCCTGATGGAAGTTCAAATTGGAAGAATCCATCGGATAAGGTCTAATCATCTTCTAGAAGGCAATAATTAACTCGAAAGCATGATACTTCACTTGGAAGTTCATAAATTGGAAGGATCTATGAAGTAAAGAACTTACTGGAAGATATTTAACTAAAGGTCACCTTCTAGAACAAAGATTGCTTAATTAAAGATATGATACTTGGAAACAACTCATTTGTTGCCCCTCAAAAGATCTAACGTTTGATTTAGACATCAGGATATTAAAATTCATGCATGTGGGCCTAATGAGGATGTTAGATCATGCCGTGTACCTTGTTGAGTACCTTACTCGAAAGATATTTCTCAGGCAGTTCTTATCATCACCTGTCTCTGTCTGATACCAAACCTGGGCTTGGTGTCACTTATTGTAAATCCTACTAAAAGGCAACATTCAGTGCTAACTAGAGAAACAAATAATAATTTACTAACCTAAGAATGAGTGTCAGGGACCTGAACATTGGCTCGCTCTAACTAGCGTAAGTTCCCTGAATTCCCTCTTCACATTTGAAAATACTTATATATCATGAAGGCTTTTCCGGATCAATGTGTTGTATTCCTCCATCCCATGCAAGCGTGCTAAAGCCACCCCCAACCCACCCACTCATACTTGATCACATTTATTAGTATAACAAAAAACTATTTAGCTACATCATATACATATGTACGTATAGATATATATACAGATAGATATTATTGATAATTTGGTATTAGTAGATTTAGTAGATATTGTTAAGATATTATGAGATGTGATTAGGTATGATTTTATCTCATAACTATTATTTAAGAGAGGTAAGTTTAGATGAGTAATAACTTTGCCTTCTTTATTTCTCTACATGGCATCAAAGTTTATTCGATCCTAGCAACTTTTCCCATCTTTGTAGATCTCGAGGCCGTCGAGAGGGTTTTGCTTGGCCTTCATGCTTCTCTCAGCGGCTATGACAACATCTTCAGCGGCTTTGATAATATCTTTGATTTCTATATCATTTGTTTACTAAATCTTTGTTGAACCAAAAAAAAAGCCTCTAAAAAACCTTAATTTCAAAAGGGGAAAATGACACTGTTCACCTAGGTGCTGTCCATCTATGAACAGTACACATGTGTGTTCCTCAGAATGAACAGTATTGCTCTTTGTCATCTTTCAATGATTGGATGCAAAAGTATGTAGTTGATTCTGATGTTGCTTACAGTGGCTAATCCGTCTACTATTTTATCTAGCTGACCCGCCTAGGGTTTCTTCTCGCTGATCCATCTAGGGTTTCTTCTACTAGCTTACCCGCTTAGGGTTTCTACTGATATTCTAATTGCTGAAGTCTTTAAGTATTCCGGAAAAAGATGACCTTACCTAAGCTCTTGCAACTAGCTGTTTTCCACTTATAACAAGTTAGACACATATAGTATATATGCTCCAGCTTGAGTGAGAGTGTTAGATATTGTTGATAATTTGGTATTAGTAGATTTAGTATATATTATGAGATATTGTGAGATGTGATTAAATATGATTTTATCTCATATCTATTTTACAATATCTTCCTAATCTCTATTAAAGAGAGGTTAAGATTAGATAAATAATAACTTTGCTTTCTCCATTTCTCTACATATATCACAAAAGATCTTTTTTGGTTGGTTCATAAGTTACAGTGTCTAAGTGCTAATTTTGAATACAAACTTAATATAATATGACAAGTGGCATTGATTTACTGAATATTACACGGAATAGTTTGCGTCTGTCAAATTCACTGATCATGAATGCTTATTATTCAAAAGTATACTGCAAAAGTATGACCTGTAGTCTTTGTGGTTATGTACCTGAAGAGGGTGCCAGTTGAGTACAACATCAAATTTGTACTAAGCTTTCTCTTCTACTTCCAAAGCTATTTCATTGCGGCGTGTGAAAGGAAGAGTAAATGGAGGATTAAACTGTACAAGGAACAAACAAATATAATTCAAGCTATGTCCCATCTCAAATGCTCTCCCATTGTCATAGTTAAATCTGATAAAGTTATACCTGTGCAACTTCAACAGATGCATTTTGTTTTACTTGAAATTGTGAATCACTTACGAGTGCAACACGTAATTTAGCTTCCCTTCGTTTCACATCTTCATCTGTCACAAAGCCTGATAAAAATGGAAAAGATAAGACATAACAGGCCTGAACTCACCAATTGATAATAGAAGACATCATAGTCTATATATCATATCAAGTGAAAAAATTTAAGACGTCTAACTAATATTCGAAGATACTTAATATTAAGAGGTCTAACATAAAGATTTTTCTTATTCACACTTGAAACGGGTAACATTATTCTGGAAATTCCTGTATTGAAGTCAAGTTTTCTAGTCCTCTTCCTCCCCATATCAAGCCACATAGGATTTTCTTTGATCATTTGATAACATTCCATCCATCTACTCTCCAGACTATTCTTGCATCTCTCTCTCTCTCCACGAGTATCCATAAACCTCTCCATATATTACCCACTAGCCTACAAAAACATTTCAATAGAACAGCAGAATTAAAAGTTACACTAATTGTATATTTTCATCCTTCTAGTTGCCTTTGTATTCTGTTCATGCCAGTTTTATACATCCATCACATGGCTGCATAGTTTTAAGTATACAAACCTGAAAAAGCAGTAATAGCAACAATCTTATGAGGAACTTCTTTGATCCTTACAGAGGGATCTTTTGGCAGCGGCAAGTTAGCACCATATTTTGAGGGCATGACAAATGACATTGTCCAATTATCACCTGACTGACCATTGACCAACAAGGAAGACAACATCAGATCTGTATTCATCTGAAAAAAGTCTTCAGCGAAAGTTACTTGCCTGTTTTGTTATTACAGGGGTCGTCATATCCATTTTCTCTCCATCCGACTGAACCTTCCTCGTAATAACAGGAGTGGTCATTTCCATTTGTTCAGCGGTTGTGTTCTACAACCAGGAGTTGATAACAATAGATCTTGTTAATGTGCCAAGAAAGACCATAAGAAGAAGGATGTTCAAAGAATACGTCTTCCATATACCTTACCTTACCAAACAGGTATTCAGCCAAGACATTAAACCCCCGAGAAGCTCCATTGAAATCAAACCCAGTGTTTCCAGGCATAATCGTCTCGGCTATATAGTAAGACTGTTCACCAAGTATAATACATGAATGCATGTACCTCTAAAAGAAATGAAGAAGGAAAAATAGGAGCATGCATATTAAAACTGCAACCATAATGCTCTCACTATAATTTATCAACAACTACATCAATGCTATACATCCATCATTGTAACGTTGGAGATGACAGACGCTTATTTGTAATCAACCAGTTTTGGGAGTGGTCACGGCTGGGATCTTTTGATCCCATACTTTTTCCAGAAAAGGAAAAAAAGTGCTAACCTATGTCCAATACAAACTACTAACAGGATCTAGAGATGACGATAATTGTGAGATGCATCAGTCATCACAATCTCTACCATAAGTATATTTGTTTCTTCTTTCTATAGGATCAATCATCTTAGCAAGTGAATGGATCCCATGGTAAACATCCCTATCATAGAATCAAGTTGAATTTTGGACACTGCCATTTGTTTTCTTAGCTAATGCCGATGTTTCGTCTGTGGAGTTTAATTATACGACTCATAAGTTTCCTCCCATGATAAGTTGCGATGTCTTTCTGTCCGTCTTTTACTCTTGAAGTAAATGCCTCGATCCTTTTCCATTCAGTAGAAGATTTGTCAGTTTGATGATATTTGTTGAATAACTTTTCCATTCAGTAGAAATTTTTTTAGCTTGCATTTCTTAAAACTAACAGCCTATTAATTGTAGTGGATGTCGAAGTATGAAGTGGTAAGCTCCTTTTTTGTCAATCAAGAACCAAAGTTAAAACTTCAAAGCCCATAACGTCAACATAAACACAAACAGTTCACAATCACACGCATACTCACGTCTCACTTTATCTTTAAAAAATGCTTCTCTCTTTATCTTTAAAAAATGCGAATAACATATAACAGCCAGCTAAACTGTCTCACATAACAGCAGTTTATTAACAAAATAAGGAGTATCAGGGATGGAAAAGCACTACCTCGACTTCCCTGACCTCATATGCATCTGTTCTCTTTAATACCCGATATCTGATAGTTTCAAGATCCGGAACTTTGAATGGTCAACAGAGAGTAAGTCGTTGCAGAAATCAAATAAAAACAAGGGGCTTAGATAATTTTTGTAAAATTCAAAGAAACATCACTACCTAACATCAGGGCTTCCTCTAGTGTTCGTGCATCCGGTCTGCGTGGCAAGACATATTTTGCAGTTTCCTCAGTCAAATCCCCCAAAACTGCAACCCAAAAAAAAAAAGATCAGTTTAGAAAATACCACTTTTCCTCAAAGATCAAATAATTGTTCCATGCAAATCAAAGCCTTCTCCATACATCTTTGGGAGAGTGAAGAGGCCTGGGAAGCTAGAGCAAGAACAAGGGAGAGCCGAGTCTCAAAAGCTGATCGACTAATCCGTGGAACAACTCTGCCTCCCTTTACAGCCGATGATCTCGTAATCCATGATTGATTACTACGATTTCGATGCACGGCAAGAGATTGAACAGTTGGACACAAGTTCCACAGCAGCAACATTTTTATCCTTCAGAATCTAAAGCTAATTTTCTTTTTGATTGTTATACCAAACAGAGAATATTTTCTCTGGTGTTCATTTGATCAGAACAAGTTTTTTTTTTCTTTTAAAAGGTTCATATGCCATCAACTGGCTTCATTCATTCTGGAAGCTCACAAAATGACAACTGAAAATAACAAGCAAAATATAGACCACTAATTTAGTGGACCTAGAGTCTCATTCCAGGATGGATTTTAGAGGTCATAAAACCTCCACAATCACTGATGACCTCAATCGAAGTGCTACACAAGTCCACCTCTATATACACCTAATGCTGTTTTCTTCTTGCTATAGGAATTCACAAGAAGTATTCAGCTCTCTTTGATCAAAACGTATGACAATCAAATAAATTAACAAGAACTCCCGAGTCCTAAGTGGGTCATTTCATCAAACAGGTGATCGGCATCATTCAATCACCCACCTCTCACACACCCACTGACCATCATAGTAACGTAGGAACACCATTGGGTGTTGGCACTAGTCTGAGCATGTGTGAGGATAGGTTCGTACAACTTTTCCAGTTTTGGTGATTTAAACATGCATTTTGATGTATTTAGATTTTATTTTGAAAAATAAAAATAAAAATCTCACCATAACCTGTGAAGTTGTGATTACTGGCTGCTCCTCTCTCGTGGGCTTTCTCTATAATGGGTTGATTGGGCCTCCAATGTCATATTGTTTACAGGTCAAGAGATGGGCTGTTACGTCTACATCGTTTGCAATTCCTATGTAGTGAATTATGGAGATAGGTCCCCTCATGTGTTTTTGACCATAAATTAATATAGCCTTTTTCAATTTCCTTAAACCAAATATGCTTTCTTAACTATGAAAATCATAACTTCCCCACGATATTTTGGACCATGGTAATCAAAACCCTCGGGCGCTTCAGGAGAGTCGAACCTGAGATCTTGTGGTACTAATTAATCATAGACAGCTTACCAATTCAGCCAGAGCTTCATGGATAGTGTTGTTTTACTTTAGTTTTTAAACCTATGTGGATATCCGATAGGAATATTCTTGGCAATATCTAAATGTAATCATCACACGATTACAGGTTGCCAAATCAGCACCGGTCAACTCGAAATCATTACGATGATTAGCTTGTATCTATAAACTCGTATCCATGCATTATCGAAATGATGAAGTGTTCGAAAAATGAACATCAAATCCAAAACCTTGACTCGGTTTAGTTTTAAAAAAACGTGGCAAAAAGATTAAGAACATCTGAAGGCTAATGCTGGCAAATAGTACACGAAAGAAAATTCCAGCCCAAGTTCATTGCATTCAGATTAAAAGTGATGTCAAGTGACGTTATTTCGAGTTATTATTAAAAACTTATCATAGTGCCTAACTGGACCATTCCCATAATAGGCCTTTGGTGGAGGCCCATACATTTGGCAGCATGACAAGTCTAAATTTAACTAACTTTAAATTTGTTTTTCTTCCTTTTATAGCAAATGAAGATAAACTTTGATTTCAAATGGGAAACTAGGTATCTTGCAACCATCAAATTAATTTGTGAATGATTTGAACGTAAACAGTGTTGGCTATGACCCCAACTAATCTATTCTTCAGTGAATAAATGCAAAACGTTGATGATATTATTGTTTAGGGTTGCTAATTTCTGCACAATTTGGTCGTTCAATGACTCATTATATGAAGAAAGATCAAAGAAGGGTAATTAATGCATTTTGGAATTAATAATTGTCGGTACCTATAATTTGGAAAAAAAAAACTAATAATCACCTTACAAGGATTCTGGAATTTGTTTTTTTTTTTAAATTGCACCTTATATGATGAGGCATGACCCGGTTGATTGAGTAGATGACATCATTATAAACTTTTTTATAGAATTATAACTTACGATAGATAGAAAAATATAAAAGAAGAAGATTCCTTGCACGAGAGAAAGGCTTATCGTTCGACGATTAATATTGCCTGTAAATTCATTGGATATGTTTACATGAATTTTTTGAGGAGATTAGTTAATTTGTCTTCATGAATATACCAATTAATATTTCCCATTTGCGTATTCATTAATACTATTCCCCTACTTTCATGCATGATTTCGTCGTACAAATGCATCTTGCCCAACGGACAAATTTGTAACTAAGTTAGGTAGGCCCCAACTCCTCGTGAAAGGGTGCAATCTTGGGTTAACGTTTCTCCTTTATTCACCGCCACTCTTCCTGATATTTGTCTTTGCTTCCTCTATAGAAATTAGAAAATAGGGAAACATATTCAGTTTCACGCCACATCATCTGTATCATAAGTCGTAAGTCGATCAAATTTTGACACGTGTCCACAGAATATCATGCAACACATGATTAGAATTCGGAAAAAAGGAGCTATAAGATTGTTTAATTAATGGTGAAGTGTGAAAACTTTTCGACGCATTAGGAGTGCTGCTACGGTGACCCAAAATATGGGACTAAGGAAGGGGACATGTGAGTTGTCTCCTTCCTAGTGCATAATGAGTTGTCATGAGTTGGCATGGCCAACTTATTATGCAATAGGGAGGGGACACCTCACATGTCCCCTCCCTTGATCCCATATTTTGGGTCCTTAAATTATTTTCCACGTATTAGATCGATATATTTATCTCCTAATCCCTTTCTTTTGCACATATTCCAAAGGTTACCGTCTCTTTAAATATCACGTGCCAAGTAAATTCAATTTACTAGATAAAATTAAAACGAAGTTAGTGAGTAGCTAGTAATCCTATATATTAGAAGAACTTGGATCCTCTCCATTAAAAAAAGCAGTGGAGAGACTATCACTACTTTTAATCTCAATAGTTGATTATTTAGTAGACGGTTATGATACAATCTAAATTTAACACTCATCATAACCTTGTATATTGTACTCATTCCTAATTTGCACTCAAAGAAAAAAACCACGACCATCAACTCGAATTTAATAGCTAGTTAAGGGAGGCGATACAATCACACCCCTAACCACACTCCTCTCTCGCTACAGTGCACTGGGGTCCACATGAGAGTTTTTAAAAAAAATTCTCATGTGGACCCCAGTGCCCTGTAACGAGAGAGGAGTGTGGTTAGGGGGTTAATTAGTTAAGAGGCATATATCGATGATAATACTTGAAAGCATTGGATAGTGGCTTGCTTGCTTTTTCTTATATAGAGAGAGGGGGAAGGGAAGAGAGAGAACAACCGGCAATTAACAAGTTGCTTCCTCGGCCAACCCCCCCCCCCCCCCCCCCCCTCCCTCGTTCCTCATGCGTACAAGTCATCCCCAACATCCAAAAACGTTTTCCTTCCTTCTCTCTCTTCTCTCTTCTCTCTCTCTCTCTCTCTCTCTCTCCTCTCTCTCTCTCTCCTCTGCACCTCCTCTATAAATCCCTCGCACATTCCCCACCGGCCGCACTCAACATAACAACTCAGCATTTCTTGACCTCCAAGTCTCCTCCTCCTGCTTCCTTTCCCCCGAAGCAACAAATGGGAAACCACTCGAGCCAATAAAGCCCCACAGTCGCAGGCATGCCGCCCGACGGCTACCTCCTCGCTCCTCCATCCTCCGGTCACCACCCGACGTCGACGTCCGCTCCCGTCAAGAATCTGAGCCTCGTTATACCTCGACGCGTGCCGGCACGGACCCCGAACCTCGCAGACGCTTCGACCGATCGCTCCAGCAGGCGGCATGAGCGCGGGCAATCTCCACCCTTCGCTGTCGGCGTCGAAGGTCCGCTCCCTCATCACTTCGACTTCCTCAAAGAAGTCACCGGCTGCCGTCCTCGACGATGAAACCAAGAGGCTCGCGTCAAAGGTCATCCTGCACTGGCAGAAGGACATCTGGAAACACCCCGGACCTCTTCGAGCCTGTCGAGTGATTACTTCGACAACTCGCTGCAGACCCTGGTATTTCTGCGCGGCGAGCCGCGGCGTTGCCTTAGAAGGCCGCAATTAACAAGGTTCTTCCCCGGCCAACCCCCCCCCCCCCCCCCCCCTCCCTCGTTCCTACATTGCGTAGCAAGTCATCCCCAACCATCCAAAAACGTTTTCGCTTCCTTCTCTCTCTATCTCTCTCATCTCTCTCTCTCTCTCTCTCTCTCTCTCTCTCTCTCTCCTCTCACACCTCCTCTATAAATCCCCTCGCACATCCCCACCGGCCCACTCAACATAACAACTCAAGCATTTCTTCGACTCCAAGTCTCCTGCCTCCTCGTTCCTTTCCCTCCGAAGCAACAAATGGGAAACCACTCGAGCAAAAAGCCCCCACTCGAGCGACATGCCACCCGACGCCTACCTCCTCGCTCCTCCTCCTCCCGGTCACCACCGACGTCGACGTCCCTCCCGTCAAGATCTGAGCCTCGTTATACCCTCGACGCGTGCCCGGCACGGACCCCGACCTCGCAGACCTTCGACCGAATCGCTCCAGCAGCGCCATGAGCGCGCAATCTCCACCCTTCTGCTGTCGGGCGTCGAAGGTCCGCTCCCTTCTCACTTCGACTTCCCTCAAAGAAGTCAGCCGCGCTGCCTCCTCGACGATGAAACCAAGAGGTCGTCAAAAGGTCATCCTGTCACTGGCAAGAAGGACATCTGGAAACACCCCGGCCTCTCCGAGCCTGGTCGAGATTACTTCGACAACTCGCTGGCAGACCCTGGTATTTCTGGCGGCAGCTCGCGGCGTTGCCTTAGAAGGCCCGCGACACCCAGCTGATCCTCCCAGGTACTGCTAACAGCACTTTCGACGGACGAACGCGGACCACAAAGCTGAAAGAGGTACGCGAGAACCTGGAGGAGCTGAAGCGCTTCAGAGGGGCGCGTTCAGACCCCGTTCACCGGAACTTCTTCATGGCGTTCCAGTCGGGTCTACAAAAGCAGCAGTGTTTTTAATGCCTGGAGAAGTAACAGATCAAAAAGGCGAAGCTCGACAAGAAGCTCAATCGCTCAGGGCTGGAGGAAGCTGTCCAGCATCATTTCGCCTCACCGGCCTTCCGGGCCGCCTCATATGCTCGGTCGTGCACGCCGCGGTAGGCCGCGCGCCGGTGCCGCAGGCCTCGCGGCGGCGACGTCGGATCCGATAGGGGTTCGATGGGGAAGTGGTTTGTCGATACCTTGTGGAAGAAACTTACTGAGGACGCGACGTGGCGCCAGCAAGGAGATGGTCCTGTCGCATGCAGGCGGGGTCGTACGTGGGCGAATTAAGGACGATGGATAGCATCCGGTTGTGCTCATCGATCGCCTTGGAGACGCAGGTGGGCGCTGCTGAGAACAGCGCGGGGTTCGTGGCGGAGGAGGAGGCGGAGACGGTGAGGTTCGCGGTGGAGGAGATGAGGAGGATGCTGGAGGGGTTCATGAGGAGCGTGGAGGAGTTGGGAGAGCAGGCCGACAGGTGTAGCAGGGATATTCGGAGGGCCAGGACTGTTGTGTTGCAGCGGATCATCAGGCAGTGAATTGAAGAAGGATCGATGGTTCGGTCGGAGTTTAATTAGATTGCGAATGTTAATTAATAATTCTTTCGTTTGTTGAGCAGGGAATTGGTTGTGTGTGATAGGTTTGTTTCGAATTTGTTTAATTAACGAAGAAGAGGGACGAGAACAAGGAAAATTATTAGGCTATATATGTGTGGATTTCTATACGGAGCTAATTAATTATGCGGCTTCAATTTGTTGCCATTAGGATTATACTTCTTACAAATGAACTTAAGGTGGGGTTAGTCGACTAGAACTAAAAACCAGAACTCGGATAAATATTCATGGGATAAATTTTTGTGGTGTTAGCCAATCAGAACTGGGATAATTTTTAAAACTCTCCCACTAAATATTGTTCTACCTAGCTATATTGAAAAACATGAATTCTTCTCCCCAAATTATTCCACTCGTCAACTTAGATGAGAACAAACTAGAACTTTTTGACTAGTCAAAAAAAATACTAATAGTTGAGTCCAATAAAATGAATGTTGCTAACACATTATTTATGCATAATTTACATTATAAATGTATGATAATAGCACTTGCCATGCATATAGGAAAATGCGGTTGATATAAAAAATGATAAGTAACCTTTTGTGGATACACATAAATCACAACGAAAGATAGCTATTTACCTAGAATCAACAATATTTTGTGATGACCATACGGCTGTGTTTGGCAAAGAGTTAAGGAAGAGGGATTAAGGAGAAAGGTTAACTTAGTTAATCCATCGTGAAGGGTTAAAAATATTCTTATTCCGTTTGGATTTGATAATTAAGACAAAGTGTTAAGTCTTTTGTGTTTGGCAAATGAAGAACGGCTAAGGAGATTAATCTCATTATTCTTTTTAAAAATACCACTTTCGCCCTTTCTAAAAATTTAAAAAATCGCACAAACACTGTTGGTTTATATACAAATACTTTCTCATGAATCAGATTCCAAAACAACACAAGACAGATAAATATGTGAGCCAATCTCATCACAAAACATTGATCAAATCAACACAATCACAAATTTTTACACACAGAAGAAACGGCGACATGCACAAAATCTACATTTCTCAAGAAATAGAGTGTCGTCGCCTTCTCTAAAGCAGAAATCGAGCATCTAAAATAGCCTTCAGATTTATTGGGTTCACATCTCTCATCCGAAAAAATGAATTCAACTTGCTGAGCTTCTTCGTGAACGACTTCAGCAGTTTATTTGCAGGATTTGCTTTTTACAAGCTCTTGCTTGATTGTACATGATCCTTCTCCAAATTTGTGAGCCTCATCCTCATTCTTTCAACCTCAAGCTTCAACTCTCCGTTCTCTCTTCTGACTGAAGCATAGTTATCACGCGGTGAGATTGATCCGCTCCCTGATCTTTGAGGATACTGGCCATGGATTGATCCGAAGAAGAGCTGATCTTGGTTTCCGTTCATTGCATTTCGAAGCCTGATTTGCTCGAAGTACAGAACTTGTATTGCCATTTGAATAGGCAATCGTTCGTTCTGAGCAGCGTGGCTGAATGCTTCTTGAGATAGTTTTTGATAGTTGACGGTCTTGCACAGCCGATATCTCTCTGATTCTTTTATGTTCGGATGAACCTGAAAGTGAAATATGTGGTTAGCTTTTCCTCATATTTTTCCAGGGTAAATTTTGATAGTCTAGTCAAATGATGACAAAAGTTTTCAAGAAGTTGTTACTTTCAAAAAGATATTGAAAGCTTTGTAGAGTCCATCATTCACCGGACATGCATGATCAGGCAGAAGCTCAAGAATCTGGTCCAGACCCTCGATTGCATTGTGTATGACAATCGTGAATTTTGTCAGAGCATCTGGTCCTTTTAGCCTACATCAACTGCCAAAAATCTCTCCCACAAGAAGCTTACAGATCATTTCCCTTCTTGACCATCCTGTAAGCTACTCCATTGTTGTATTCCACTCTGAACAACATGTGTTCTCATAACTTTTTTAGCCTACAGAAACTTCACCAAAACTTATCTAACAGGATCCTGCACTGTTCACATAGCTTGCAAAATTATAAATTCTATTAAAGAAAATAATTATTCAACAAAGAATCTCAGAATTCAAAAATTCTACTAATGAACACACCAAAATTGAACAACATTCACAGTATCTTCAAGATCAAAAGTTAGCTAATACTGGTGCACAATATCTTGAAGTTAGCTATAGCATCTCAGTTCGAACAACAGCAATGAATAATCGTCACACACATTCTTATCAACAAATTCAAGAAAAATCTCAAGAACAGAAACACGAAAACTCACAACAGCTAATCTCGGTGGCCGAACCCTAACTCTCGCCTCGGATCTCAGCCGATCCAGCCTCCTCCCATTCTCCTCCAACCTCCTCATTAGATCCATCGGCCTAAACCTCACCGAGGTCCCCGGAGCCGGCCGTCGCCTCGTCGGAGCTCTCCCCAGCCCTAGATCCCCAGAGACATCATCGTGAGAGTGTAGAGCGCGATGCTACATCACCGTGACAGTTATATTTGGAGAAGGATCATATGTCAATCAGGTAAGAGCTCTTCTTTGGATCAATCCATTGGATCAACCGGAGACCTCGAGGAAGGAGAAGGGGGCGACCTGAACGGGAGTGGCTCGACGAATTTTGTGAGGGTGAGGAAAGAGAGGGGGTGCTATCAAAATTCCGCTGCCTAGTTCCCCATTCCGCTGCCGAGATCCAGATGAAATAAATTCCCCGCCTACCCTCGCGTGAGAAGGCGGAACAAGTCTTGTTCCGCCTATCCACGAGGAATTGTTAACCCTTCAATCCACGGAATAAATAAAATTTTGGGCTCACGTGAGGGTTAGTTAACCCGTGGGTCTTTTTTTCTGTTTGGCAGGTTAATGAAGGGATAAACCCTCTTAACCCTTCATTTAACCCCTTGCCAAACACAGCCTACAGTACATGTGATGATCAAGTATGTTGCACTATTAATTTGTAATTCGTTATTTTTTTATGAACTATATATTTAATGATTATTACTAGCTAGTTTACATGATTATTGATAGTAATAACTATTAAAATAAGGTTATATATAGCTTAAATAATAGTTACTCTTTTATAAGATTTATTTATACTGCTTTATATAATTATCAATTTATATTCTCAAGCTTTAAAAATATATAAATTAAGGCGTCATATTATCAAAATACATAATTGTATACTTTCCAATTATTTCAAATTATCCCACATTATTGTACTAAAATATTCTACTTGCATAAAATTATTCCACTTAAACAATTCTTCCAATTTTACTTGAAAAGTTCTAATTGACTAACATGCCCAGGATTTTTTTAATAGACTCCTCCATGTAAAATGCGAGAAAGGCAAATTAGCTTTTTCGTGCTAAATTGTTTTGTGGGTGTGCGCATACACACACACACACACGTGTGTGTGTAAACATGTATATGTAATATGTGTGTGTGTCAGGCTTCTTTTAAAAGTACGAGTTCGGGAAAGCTTTTCATGTTTAAAATTCATAATTTCATGAGTAGTAATTAATTTGTTATTTTTAGTCATTTTGACCTATTGGTAAATAATTTTATGGATGCAAAAATTTTTAATTTCATGTGCTATAACCCAATATTTGTGACTATTTTTGGTCTTTTCAACCAATTGGCAAATAAATATGCAATAACAAAAAATTCATGATTTTATGAGCTGTAATACATAGTATTAGCCCTTTTTATTATTTTAAACCATTGACAAATAATTCTACGGGGTCTAAATTCATTATTTTATAAGCTATTACCAATTATTTCTGGCATTTTTATTTCAATCCGTTGCTAAAAAATTCATGCTGCCAAAAATTTATATTTTCATGGGCATAATTCATGATTTTGGACATTTTAAATCATTTTGATCTGTTAGTACATAATTTAATGAAGACCAAAATTCATGATTTTATGAGTTATAATCCACAGATTTTTACTCATTTTTAGTCATTTCATCGCATTCTCAAATAAATTTATGAATGAGAGAATTTAATATTTCATGACTTACAACACAAGAATTTTGGGCATTTTTATTCATTTTACACCCATTGGCAAATAATTACTTGGAGACCAAAAACATAAGTTTATGAGATATAACCCACAATTTTTTAGCCATTCATAGTCATTTTGACCCTTTAGAATTTTTTTTTGCAAATACTAAAATTTATGATTTCATGAAATATAACCAACAATATTTGATCATTTGTAGTCATTTCATTCCATTGTCAAATTATTATGTAGAGGCTAAAATTTAAATTTTTTTGAGTAACAACCCATGATTTTTGACTATTTTTAGTTGTTTGAACATATTTTTAAATTATTTCATAGGGTCCAAAACTTATAATTTTATTAGCTATAACTCATGAATTTTGACAATTTTTAATCATTTTATCAAAGTTGTAAATAATTTATGGTAGCTAAAATTTGAGTTTTCATTAGCCGTAATCCGTGATTTCGCAATTTTTGGCCGTTTCGACCAACTGGTGGCCAAAATTAATGATTTTGTAAGATATCAACCTACAATTTTGACCATTTTTAATCATTTCGACCAATTGACAAATAATCTCAGGAGGCAAAAATTCACGATTTTATGAGCTATAACCCATAATTTTTGTTATTTTTTGTCATTTGAACCCATTAGAAAATAATTTTACGGAGTTCAAATTCATGATTTTGTGAGCTATAACCCGTGATTTTGGCCTAGTCGTTTTTAACCCATTGGCAAATAATTTTGAGGTGGTCAAAATTTACAAATTCATAGGCTAAAGCTCAAGGGATTTGTCCATTTTAAGCCATTTCAGCCCATTTGCAAATAATTTTAGTGGGCCAAAATTCATGATTTTATGACTTATAACCTATGATTTTTTGTTATTTTAAGTCTACACTTGTTAAATAATTTCACAGAGCTAAAATATCACTATTTCGTGAGTCATAACCAATGATTTTAAGCATTTTAGTCATTTCCACCTGTTGATAAATAATTCTGTGGTGATAAAAATTCATGATTTTGTGAGCTATAACCCATGATTTTTATACATTGTTTAGTCATTTTACCCATTAGTAAATAAGAACAATTTTTCAAAACGGACTGAATTTTTTTTTTTTTCAAAACCGACTGTTTTTTTTTTATTTATCAAAATCGACCCGGTTTTGTGATTAGGCTGCTAATCACTATCCTAAATAGTCGGGGTTGGCAACCCCGACTATTTAGGAGGATGTTAAACCCTAATTAAAGGGTGATTAGCAGGTTAATCACTATCCTAAATAGTCGGGGTTGCCAACCCCGACTATTTAGGATAGTGATTAGCCTGCTAATCACAAAACCGGGTCGATTTTGATAAATAAAAAAAAACAGTCGGTTTTGAAAAAAAAAAAAATTCAGTCGGTTTTGAAAAATTGTTCTAGTAAATAATGTCACGGAGGCCAAAATTCCCAATGTCATGAGCTATAACGCATAATTTTTTTTTATCATTTTTAGTTATTTTGACATATTGGCAAATAATTTTGCGGAGCTCAAAATTTAAAATTTCATGACTATAACCTATGATTTATGGTAATTTTAGTCATTCCGGTCTGTGAGCAAATAATTTTGGGGTGACCAAAATTTACGATTCCATTAGGTATAACCCATGATATTTGGAGATTTTTTTTATCATTTCGACCTATTAGCAAATAACTTTATGGAGTCCACATTCACGATTTCGTCAGCTATAACCCATAATTTTGGCCATTTTTAGTTGTTTCAATTCATTAGAAAATAATTTTGAGATGACAAATTTTTTACATATTATGGGCACAACCCTCAATTTTGGACATTTTTATCATTTTTAATCCATAGGAAAATAATTTTGCTATAACCCATAAATTTTGGCCATTTGTAATTGTTTTGACCCATTGATAAATAATTTTGTAGAGGCCAAATCACGATTTCATGAGTTATTACCTATAATATTTGACCATTTATAGTCGGTTCAACTCATTGTTGAACAATTTTGTGGAGGTCAAAATTAAAAATTTTATGAACTGTTATCCATGATTTTTGACCAATGTTAGTTATTATGATACATTGGTAAATAATTTTACGGAGTTTAAAATTCACTATTTCATTAGCTATAACCCATTATTTTTTGTCTTTTTTAATCATTTTGACGTAGTGGCAAATAATTTCGCAATAGCCATAATTCACGATCCTATGAGCTATAACCCATGATTTTTGGCTATTTTTAGTCGTTTTGACTCATTGTCAAATAATTTTGCGGTGGCCAAAATTAACGATTTTGTAAGCTATTAACCTATAGTTTTTAGCCATTTTTAGTTGTTTGATCCCTTGGCAAATAATTCTGAGAAGACCGACATTCATGATTTCGTGATCTATTACCTATGATTTTGACTATTTTTAGTTGTTTTAGCACATCGACAAGTAACTTCATAATGGCTAAATTTTACAATATAATGGGATAAATTACACATGCTAATTGAGACGAAATTGGATATATGTTGGGTGGAAATGAAACAAATACTTAATAAATAGCTTGAGTATTTTTTTGTGTGAATATTCAGTTATATTGGATTCCGTAGTTCATTTAATAGTAAATGAATTTATTTTTGGTATTCGGTTCATAACTGAATAGAATTAGACTAGAGGTATATTCAATTCATTAATTTGGTTATTAAATATTCATTTATATTTTTCTACTTCTATTTTTCTATATTATTATCTTTTATGTGTGCATAATATTATAAATATTTCTATTTTTATTCATAATATATTAATAATTTATAAACATACAATATGATAATCCTTATAGTGAATATCATATTAATAATTAAATAAACCATTATAATAAATAAATAAAAACAAACTTCAAACATGGGGTTTAAGCTTAAGACCTCATGCTCAATAACCTTGTAACATATATACCAAGTATGTCAGTGAAAATAATCGTGAATATTTAACAAATGTTTTTTTAATTAACAAAATC